CAGGGTCAAAAGGGATTTGTTGACTTTAACCTATTGCAACACATTTTGGTCAAGAAGCAGAGTACACTCTGGAACTCTGGAGAGGTTACCAGTCTATCACCAGGCTAACACACACACTGTACAACCCAATACAATCACATTCTTTCCTCCTCTGCACCCCCTCGTAATGATCCCCCCTGTCTCCTGAACTGGGTGAGCTGAAGGTGAGTATCCCCTTCTAGTCATTTCCCTCTGTTTCCCCAAGACATACGCTAGACAAGGCACTTTTTTTGTGGGGATGAGGGAGGATTTTCAAAAATATATTAAACACCAAGCAATAAAATATAGACCAGTGGGGTCAGATTCACTGCAACTCTCCAGGCTCCACAGCCAGTGTGGCCGGTGTGATGAGATGAGGACGAGGGAAAAGGTGTAACAAGAGGAGAGAAAAGGGGACGAAAGTATCAATAATGCAGCGTATACAGTGTATACAGCTGACAGCAAAAATGAAAAACACATTGCGTGAAAGAGAGGAGGGAACTCTGATTTCTGGGCTGAGTCACTTGTATCTAAGTGCCAGAACATGAATTCATTGGTTAAATGATTTTAGTTTATTGAAACCAGTTCAAATGGTTATATGCCTTGTATGTACATAAGCAAGTGCAGACATTTCAGCACAATTTTATGCATTCTATAGCAAGCTGAATGTCTCTATCCATGTCTTATACTGAATAAAAAGCTCTGTATATGTAAACAACCTGCACATAGACATCTGTCATGTGTTTATTTCATGAACACATGGCAGATTAACACTGGTACGTGTTACAAAAACTGTGGAAGAGGAGGCAAAAGTAGAATACAAAATTATTTTGTATTTTTTCAAATGCTTATTTTATCTGTTTTTGAAAAATGCATCCCTTCATACTGTCAGTTTCACCTTTATTTGCCTCTTGTTTGGTTATGACCTAACAAATGCTCTGTAATGGAGCCCCAGGGGAGAACGAGGGCCTTATTCTCCCAGTACTCTCCCACTCTGTCCCCTGTCTTCCTCCTTTCCTTTTCTTAATTGTATCCCTCTCTTAATTTGGGGCTTCCTGTTGATTAGATTTTTCTTTCCTCTTGCTCATCCTTCACTGTCATCCTCTCTCACCCATGTCAGTCTCCCTCGCTCTTCCCCCACCCGCCTCTCCCTTTGCATCTCTTGTATTGTAAACAGCTCACAAAAGCATGACAAGGTCTCTGCTCATGTTCCCCCTGCCTCCCTCTCTGTTCTCCCAGCTATTTGTTATTGTCTCCCCGCTATCGTTGGTGTTTGTCTCTATCACGCTTTCTTTATTCTGTTTTCTTCCTCTGCGTTAGAAAAGCAAAAGTTAATTAAATATGGAACGAGATGGAGCAGCATCTCTTTAAACCATCATGTCATTAAAATGGCATCCCTGGGAGATCAGCTTAAAAGGAGTCGAGAACAATGTCTTCTCAGTCTGATATTTATGGGCTTGGTTATGTAAACATGCTCCCTTTATTCGCTATGTATATTTCATGTAATTATCACTTTTTGTAGCACTTCTCCCCTGAGATTTGCAGAGGCAAGAAGTTACTAGGGGAATGTCATTAGCAGAGACTATTGTTACAGTGTTGCTCTAACACTGCACCAGGAAAAAGGCTACACTCAAGTCCTGTCAAAACCTTAAATGTATATTTGACTTCATCATGTAAAAATCAGCAGTGTCTTGTTAAGGTATATTTGCAGCTGAAACTCATATACCATTCTCTGCACTTGCTCATCCTTATCGAAACCCCCCCAAAAAAACACAAACCTATTTTATCCTTCTTCCAGCTTGTATCTGGATAACAGGAAATTCACTGATGATTTATAGGTTTGCAGAAAGCTTGATGCCTGTTACTCAGCCTGCCCATGTATCTGTTAGAAAAGCTGAAAATGGGGAATGAACTGGATTCCTTCAGCAACAGCAGAGGCCAGTGACTGGTGCTTGAAGGCCTGGGTGCCAGCTGACAGAAGCCGCTAATTAAGAGGGCTGGAGAGCCAGTAGGGTGCCTTATGAAACAGAGGCACCTGGGTTTCACAAGAGGGGGCCGGATCACCATCGAATCTCATCTGTGTTGAGCAGGGAAGACTATATTCCACTCCAGCACGATGCCACGTAGCACTCGTGCACTCAAGCATAATGTCAAATAAGGCTCACCAAACAACCCGCCGCCCCCCCCACCCCTGTGCCCTCTCTCAGCTTGTTTGCCGTCACAGAGGGAGATGTTATTGCATGGCATGATGAAATTGTACATGTCACGCTGCATTTCATTCAAGTCAAATGCACTTAAATACAGATGCAAAAAGAAACAGCTGTGTATGAACACAGTCAAGTACACACATGCAATATAAAAAATGTGCACACTCACAGGATCTGGACTCCCACATGCATAACTTAATGCCCCTCTCCTTTCTATTGTTCGTTGTGTCTTCTTTGCTGTAGGGTCAAGATGTCTCTAAGTAATCTAACTAGCTCTGACTTAAGGGACAATATAAGGTCTGCCATGAGTTCTGTCATTACTGTTTTACCCACCAGAGGCAGATACAGCTCTCGACCACCACTGAACCAGCCATATTGCTATCCAACCTGACCCCACAGATGCAGTAAACCTAAGTGAACCACAGTTTCTAAAGTCGACAGCAATAACCACTGCAGAATTGCTTTTAATCAACGTCTGAAATGAGGGTGACTTGAAGCGGCGCCCCATGCTGATTAAATGTAATTGTTTAATTGCCAAGTGCTGGGAACCCATCCTAAGAGGATTCCAATGGAATTATTTAATCTCTAGTCAGGAAGTACACTGCAGGAAAAAGCAGAAGGAAAACGGAAGAACGGAAAAAGCCAAATATCAAGCAGAAAGAGTTTGTTTTTCTTTTTGATCATGCACCTCATGAAATATTAACTGTGGTTTACATTTAGTTAGCTGAGAAAGTGAACAGGTTGTATGGGGGGAAGACGTACATTAAGTAATGTTACAACTTCAGAAAAGGTCACTGTTCTGACCTGTATGCACAGACTCGCACCTTTTACTGTTTACTGTGTAGACATGAGGTATTATCCAAATTGAAAACAGTAAATCTCAGCATTTGTCATTCCAACAAAGTGCTAAAGGGGAACCTGTAGGAGTTTAACTATTCAGACATTCTCATGGGGAACAGAGATCTGTAGAGGCCCTCTCCCCCATCTGATCACACTAAGTCCCTGCTAATGGGGCTTTATAAACCTAAGGGGCACAGGTGTGCTCCATTTGTGGTCACAGCTTTTAGCTACACTGCCTGTGGTCACAGACTTCCAAACGCCCAACACATTCACATACAGACTTAGAACAAGATTAAAAAGACATTCACATGTTTGTATGTTCACATAATTATTATTTTCTATGTAATTTTTTTAATTGTGCTACCCCTCCTATATCAGTTTAAGCTGGCACAATACCCAATACAACCTCAGTCGGTAGCGGTTTGGCACACATGCCATGACATTTCAATCTATCAACAAAATCAATACCAGAACGCATTTTAATTTAAGTGCACACAGTGCAAGTACTGCTCACAATGATACAGCTTTTGCTGTTGCATTTAAAAACACAGGGAAGAAACCCAGGCTGGCTATTCTGCTGAAAAATGCAGTTCTTTTGTCCCAGAGGAAATGTGCCTGCATCCCTCTGGTCAGAAGTGTACTTCTGTCCCCCCCCACCACACCACAGGCAGAGATGGAGCAAGGGGGGAGCAGAGGCCTGTTCCTTGCAGCTGTGTCCTTATTCCCAACACCTGACCATAGGCCCAGATGTGCACACTGGCAACAGCAACAATTTGAGCAATGCAAGTCCCCTGTGGGACCCAGGCACCTGCAAATGTAACCCCGCTATCTAATATGATGGAGTAATTACAGGTCTAATAAGTCTACATCTAGAAAGAACTCATTTAATATACCAAATCAAAGCTACCTAGTGGGAAACCATACAGAAATGGTATTTCTCCCTCAGCATTTTATCTGCACACCAAACAAAAGCCACTTGACACTTGGCACTGACCCAATTAGCCATCAGGTAAACTGCAACTACAGGGCATAATGCAGCTATTTACAGTGCAGGAAATATAATTATTTTGTTTTATACTGTGCATACACGCAGACTGTAACCCAGTAACAGAGATGTGCTTATTGTTTAGAATTTAAAATGTCACTCACCTAAAACAATAATTGATTCTTTTAAACTACTTTCATACAGTGAATTTCATCTGAGATAAAACAACAACATTGAGGTTTCCACTCTAATATTTCAGTTACACGAACAGTTACAAAAATAACAGCAATTACAGACTATATATTAACATTTGTATGAGCAAAGGAAATGCTGTAACTGTTCAGGTTTTAAAATTATAAAGTGACCGTATGCACAATGAAAAGAGTTAACGTGAGTGCAAACCTCAAGCGAGCACCATCCAATTTCATAGACCTGTGACTATTATGTTACATTCTCTATTACAGTTTGAATCAGTCAGGATCCTAGTGCAAAAATAAAGAATGTATTCAACTCAAAATTCACACACAAATAATAAAGCTAAACAGTTCTTGAAAACCAAAGAAATTTTCAAAGACTGTCTTCACTCTAAGATGATTGGAAGCTCAGTGCTCAAGCATGGCTCACGCTGGAAGCTGGACAGATTAATGGTGACATCTAGTGGCACAAAAGGATATATACACTTTACCGCCAGGTGTATGTATTGGTGTTTTTGTACCATAAACAATTATACTGCTCTTTCTCACATAAAGCCATATGGTTTCTGTCAAACAAACTGAAAAATAAAACATGAGAGCGTTTCCTTTTGTTTGGATTGACTTTCTACATTGCTGTAAAAAAAAAAAAAAACTGATTTGTGCATATGAGGTGACGAATGGGCAGAAAATGAGTGAAGAAATGCATTCCTTTAATTACATAGTATATAACAATGTGCCAAATAAGAGCAGAAAAATAGCCTGTTCTTGAGCTTTGGTAGTACATTTCATTTTACATACAGTACATGTAATGGCACTTTGTGTTTTCATCACTGTGCTTCAGTTACAGCAGGTCATAAACTGCGATAATGATCGGTCTTACTTCTGCTGAAGCGAGGATGTCACAGCAGTGAGGGCAACATTTTTTATGATTATAAATGTTCAAAATAATAAATATAACAAATGTTCCACATGGTGTTTAAGATACAAGGTAAGATACAAACTGCTTAATATAAAGAGATTGACAACATAACCAACAAATTGCTATTTATCCTGTAATAGATCTGTTTCCTTTTCTATATTATATCTGTCACATCACTGAGTGCACACAGAAGATGCCAAAAAATGTGGCAGTTAGTCAATGAAAATCCATTTCTTGGTCTTGTTTTTGCAGCTATCTAGTCTACATAAGTATATGGTTATGTTTCACTCTGTCTTTGTTTTTCCTTCTACCAAGCACACAGCTCAGTACTGGTAAATGTCTTTTTACAGTATGTGAAAACTGCAACCATGTAGTTATAAATTTGGCATACTCTGGATTTTTATGCAGGTTAATTATTTTCATGCTCAAGAGGAAAGTTGAATATATACTTAAGATGTGAACACAATAAACTGATTGACAGTAAATCACATTGTACTGTATAGTACCCACCTTATACTGTACATCCAAACACTAAAAGCACAAGTGAGAAACATTAATTATAGTATATATGAAAAACAGTGGTGCACAGTTTAGCTTCAGTGGCTTAAACTGTGGAATTTATGGGTAAGAGTTTGAATACCTCCACTGATAGCTTTGGCATATTGTTCGACCCCGTCCATCCGCTTGTCACTGGTCAGCACGAAGGACAGATGATGGGGAAGTAGTTTGCCTCTTTGGACAGAGAATCTTGTTGAAGGCCCTGCGGAAACTACTGTGGCAAAGCGGGTACAGGAATGGGTTAATGGCAGAATTGAGCCACAGGAGCCAGAAGGTGACCTCGTACCAGTGGCGCTGAATGCACCGCCCTCTGCAGGCTGCACGGATGATCATCAGTAGAGTGTATGGTGCCCAGCAGATGGCAAACACACACACTATGATGGCCAGGGACTTAGCAATTTTCTTATCCCTGGACAGACGGTTAGGCTGGGCAGCCCTGCTGGTTGAGGGATCAAGCTTTCCCAGACTGGGAGAAGAGGTCTGAGATTGGATGGAGCCTCTTACAGCCATTTTCATCCCAAGCCCCCAGTTGTGGGACAGGGGGATGCCCTCCCCCTGCTCACAGGCAGGTTTTCTCAGGGAAACATGGGCCTCCCTGCTGTGGAGCCTCCTCCTGCGTATGCTGAGGTAAATGCTGAGGTTGAAGAAAGCCACAGAGATGAAAGGAGAAAAAAACTCTAACATTGAGGCACTCAGCAGCAAGTACCAAGAGTAATAGAACTC